TAGGATAATCATAAGTGTATAGTGAGCTTGATATTTATATTTTTCCTTACCACGTTCACATATAACGTGCATAAATCTCTGAAGATTATTGAGTCATGCACAGATCCTGGCCATATTTGTGATATGGAACATAGTCACACACCATCTAAGAGATTTTAGTCTGTCAACTGCCTTTTTAAAATTTGATAGGCCTATAGCTAATATTACTAATCTGGATAAGAATCGCAATAGTAGCCTTGCCTGCACTGTTATTAAAGCCCGACTCCGACGAGTCGAACATTTATGCGTTTCCAACAAATTAATGATGTAAACGACATCCTCACGAGTGAGCTAAAAGACTTCCCTATCAGCTCCGCTTATAAAGCCGCGATCTAATCCTGTTAACATGAAATAAGCCTGCTCGCGAGCAGGTTCAAGCTGGCACACCTGTTGCTATGACAGCAAGTCCAGGATGAGCGTCGTAGAACCAAACAATCCAAGATCATGCCAAATCGCCAACAATCAAATCCAGCTAAGTGAGTTAGCGACGACAGATGTACGAAGAACGGGCCCCTAGCAGTAGCCTAATCGCAATGATGATAAGCATATGTGTTAATATCATTAATTAAATTACCCTGCTAATAACGATAATGTAAAAGGCTGTTCAATAACACAACTATGATTTTATAATAATTTTACAGTTTTCAACAACAACAAAAAAGCAAAAACTTCCTATCAGCTGTTTTTGGATGACATCTAGTGGTTGCGCCCTATCTGTGCAACTATAAATTCTGATCATCAGATCATCCACAATCCTGCAACCTTTAGGTGGGTCTCTGGAAGCAGGACTACACTGCTCTGGTTTTGGTGACTAGGGCCCACCACACAGCATACACAGAGATAAACAGATCCATAGAAGAAAATCTTGTCTGAGAACAGAAACAACAATCTCAGCTTTATTGCAATCGATATGCCTACTTACAATACAGAGGGGGGCTAACTATAAAGGCTAAATATAAAGGCTTTATATTTAGCCTAAATATAAAGGCATGTTACCAATCTGATATGGATTAAATAAATTCAAAGAAGTGAGAACATTTAGTTAAGAAATTAATCTGTTACATTGAGGACAAGTGAACATGATATTATCTAAGTGAATGGGAATAGGAGCTTAACTGGATTTTTAAAAATCATGAGATACAACAAATTCCTTGATTTTAGCAGAGGTGGGAGTAAGTCACACATGTGCAAGTCACAAGCAAGTCTCAAGTCTTAACCTTCGAGTCTCAAGCAAGTCCAAGTCAATTTTTTATAAAAGCAAGCAAGTCAAGTCAAGTCACTGCCTTATGTCAAGCAAGTCAAGTCAAGTCGTAGCTTGGGTCACAAGTCACTGGCAAGTCATACAAACGTTTGATGATTTCACTGAATTTATATATTAAAATAAGTTAAAACTACATAAGTTGTGGACTATGGTTTTATTTGCAACATTTTTTTTAAATATGCATTTCCACATACAGCTGAGTGGTTACTACAATAAAAATAAAAAAAATAAAAAATAAATACAATTTCAAACTACATAGCCTAAAATGTAAATGTAACTGAAATTAGGCCAACATTAAAGCATGAAAAAATAAATATGCCTCAAACATTGCAGAAGACCATTAAAAGGTATTAAACAATTCACAATTCAAGTATAATGGTTCCTATGCCACCAAATGGCATTCTTCACACTGGCATCCCCTTTATATAAGTTATATAACAGCCGTTGGCATTTAGCCTATTATGAAGCTAAAACCGCCAATAGGTGGCGCCAAATCACCGTCTTAATGTACGAGTCATAGAAGCAGTCAACTGATTTGTTCAAAATGACAGATTCGTTCTGGAACTAAGCAACTAGGTCACTGAATCACAAATACGCATAACTCTTTCTGTGGCTTGTTTGGAACTATTGTCATTGGAGAAATAGAGCAAAAACAGAAAATATTTGGAATATTATGTCTAAAATGTCACATCACAATATTCACTCTTTGTTTACTGAACTGTTTTATAAAATCATCACATTTGCAATCGCGCCAATAATCTGGAAATATTTTTTTATATATGTTATAATTATGAAAATAACTCATACTAGGGCCATTTTTCCGCCACATTTTGAATTTTGGGTGCATATTAATTCTGCTGGCATTTTTTGCCACCAACCCCCTGATAACATTAAGAGAAACATAAACGACAAAACTAACAGTTTTCTATATTGTTTTTCGTCATTGGAAAGAACAACATTTTTGGCTTTAAAGCATGATTTAAAAAGAAATGTGGCAAATGTTATACAAAACATATACCGACATTAATTATCATTTGAATATTGACAACATTAAGCTACATTTGAAAACATAATTGTGTATAAAGAGGCATGCTGTTTTGACCAATAGTATTCTCTCTAGATTTAAAGATAGTCAAATTAACTATAACAAACAGGTTAAACAAGCCATAGCTTAGCCTACTTTTAGACGTGGTGAATGAAGTTCGACTGTTCGAGGTTGTGATGGTCGTCCGATATCCATTGCCAGTTATTATGCGTACAACAAATCTTCTTGCATGAATATGGTCATTTTCTAGTGTTTATATCCAAAAAGAAACGATGCAGGGAGATGTTTTTGTTTTTAGCGCGCTCACCGCGATGTAGGCTATGTTTTTCTGGGCTTGTGCAGCGTCACGCAATCGCGCAGAATCTGATGACTGACGTCAATGGTTCCGTTGCTTTCATTTTGTTTATCAATGGATGTTGCGATGATTTATATAAAAATGTATATCAAGTCATTCTCGAGTCATACAGTTCAAGTCAAGTCAAGTCTCAAGTCATTGGATCTCAAGTCAAAGTCAAGTCGAGTCATTTTCTTAATTTAGTCAAGCAAGTCTCAAGTCCTTAAATTTGCGACTCGAGTCTGACTCGAGTCAAGTCATGTGACTCGAGTCCCCCATCTCTGGATTTTAGCATTCAACTGGAAAGTTACAAACTACAAGGAATGAAGAAAAAAGGATGGCTGTTAACAAGAAGCCTGTTTAAAATAGGGGAAACATGCATTTTATAAAACTTTATAAAAAAATTCACTTTATGAAAAACTAGTATGATGTAGCCTACTTTATCAAGAAGGGAATTTGTTACCACGAGGGGAAGACGGGGGATGGAAGTAACACTTTTTGTTTGAGCATCAATAACTCAGTGGTTGTTTGTTGTAGATCTCTCAAACTTGGATACACAGCAGCCACATATGTCTACTACAAATAAAAAACTCACTTGGATGTGTACTGCACAATCACAGATTATGTGAGTAATGTCAAATACAAAGAGTTTGGTTGTTACAAAACCTACCCCACTTCTGGGGTGAATTGTAACACTAGAGGTATGAGAGGTAATTTGCTGAAATAAGATCGACGTTCAATTTGAGCACGAACTTCACTGAAGAACAAAGAATAGTAATTTTTTAATAAAGTAAATGATTTAAACATTTATCACAAAAACAACTGCTGTGTGTTCGTGTACTGTATTCCTGACACATAAGGGTTCAGTCACTAGCTGTAGCCATCCACATATTTTTATGTGAATGGTATCACGTTAAAAAAAACACACACACACACACACACACACACACACACACACACACACACACACACACACACACACACAAACAAACAAAAAAAAACATTGAATGGAAACGTCAGGATGCACATAAATTCAAAAATGTGCACAAAAAAATGTAATACTTTTTTTTTATTCTTAAACTTTTTTTTTTATCTGTTAAAAAGACGTGCATTAACTACGATGGAAACACGTTTACCACATAAATTCCTTGATGCGCATTAAAAAACTCACATGACTTTGCCTTAACAGAACATGTGATGGATAACTGGATCATCATAAAGGGGTTGGTTGTAACATTTTTAATGAACCATTACAACTATCCAAACCACAAACAGCCATAACATGACTAACTATTTCAGCATGTGGGTTTGAGAGGAAGAGAAACGCCTACTTTAGGTTATGTAAGTCAAATAATATACAACAATATGATTGCTAGGCAAAAAAAAAAAAAATTGTATCTTCATAAAAATGTTTCTTTCCTGAAAATATTTTGTTGGTCATAAAATCTACAATGTTGCTGAAAATCACATGCCACTTCTCATGTGAGCTCAAAAGGGAGATGGGACATGGGAGTGTATAATGACATCACCACAGCTCTTTTCTGACTTGTTAAACTGACAGTGACATCTACATTTTCTAACTGTATCCAGTGTACATTTTAAACAAATTTAGGTTGCAGGTTACATTTGAGATAAGACTATAAGGCACAAACCGCTTTGCTATATGCTACATGTCCACCAGGTGATGCCAGACATGTATTATTTAGACACATTCCCCAAAAGGGTTGAACTTGATGAGCTGATTAAATGTAATTTCAATGTCGCAACTTTTTTGTGACTGCCAGTGTATTCAAAATGCAGTGGAAATGTTTCTAGGGCACTAGGCTACACGAGGCTTTCTTAAAATCAAATCAGATTAATTATCTAATGAGCAAGATTTTCACTGCAATTTAATCCAATAAATGGAGCGTCATCCTCAAGAGTGAAATAGCCTAAAGCACATAGGCTAAAACTACAATTAAACATTTAAATTTACACCTGGAGTAGGGCTATAGGGTAGCTAATAAGACATATAGACCTTAGCTCAATAAAACTTGGCGTAGGCCCATTTATTATGGCAGTTAAAAAGCTGTATGGCAGTTAAAGTGAAGGGTTTGATATGTTTTTCAGGTGTAGCCTATAGTGCCAAATTCGGACACCCAGATTATTAGCCCTCCAAATCCCCAGGATAGGTAGGTTTAGGATTAGGTATGGAGAGTTAGGCAATCAGTTTGCGGCTTAAACCAGGGGGGTAATAATTTGTCAGGGAGTCGAAATTAAGCACAACAGCGGGACTCCTCCTGGCTAATGACGTCACGCAGCTTCTCCACTGAACAGCGAAGCGTTTGGGATTGAGACGCGCGATTACGACAACCTCACATAACGGTCCACACACTCAAGAGACTGGACTCCATCTGCAATAAAGTAAGTAGGCTATAATTCATATATATATTGGCCTTTATTTCTTCATCGGGGTTTCATAGATAGTGTCGCATTGCTTTTTCCGCCAATATCTACCATTGAGTTACAACTTTCCTTGCTGAATTTACACCTGCGGTTTCTGACAACTCAGTTTAAATAGAGTTTATGTTTTTTTTTTTTTTCGTCGTGTTGTTAGACACTAAAGTGTATTAAAGTGGAGCCTGTGTGAGTGTGTCTACTGAATTTCCTCGTCCGTTGAAATTTCACAATCCGTCTCAACTTGTCTGAGGTACACCCACCAACCGTCTTTTATCTTACATAAAGAATCTAAACTTACTGTTTGAGAATTTAAACTTGCATTTAGTTCTAAAAACCTGGACAATATTCGAGAAATGTCAGAACATTTTCTTGTGCGCCATATCTTTCGCCTGTAACTGTATCGGATGCAAATTTGATTAAGTTAGTAGGCTAACTCAAACCTTCATCCTCTCATGTCAAACTAGAAGCTCCTCTTAAATAATATATACTTTCTCTGCAGCATTAATGTTTAATTTAACAGTCTGAACATGATTTTCCACCCATTTCTCCTCAAAAGTGATCTGTGTATTAAGATAAATGGGAACATATTAAACATGGTCCAGATACTGTTTTGAACACTGTTTTGAGCTCTGCCTGGAATGTACTGTCAAAAATGTTTTTAATTAATTTAATCTTCACAGGTTAAAACGTTACAAATTCATGTTTAAATATTGCCCTGTACAAGGCTGGAACGCAGAGGAGAAATAGCCTTTTCGGTGGTCCTAGGTTGTGGAACAGCCTGCCAGCACAACTTAGGGCTGCTTCCATAACAGTTTTTAAATCTCTCTTGAAAACTTATTTGTTTTCTTTAGCTTTTAAATTTAAAATTCTTATTTTGGTATGTGTTATTTTTGTTTTGATTACTTGGATTTGTACACGACTTTGGTCAGGGACTGTTTTTAAGTGTGCTTTATAAATAAAATAACTAGAACATAGTTTATTGCGATGTCACCAAAAGCAGTGGCCATGCATGCTTCAAAACTCTGCAGGCTTGTAAAACAAGTTCAGTTTGGAAAAAAGCCAATGATATAAATGTCTACGACAGTAACAATTAATTCAACAAGCAGATTGTTAAATTGGTATGATTGGTATGTCCCACCATGTTGGCTCACTAAAATATGATAAAGTTGTACAAAGTAAGTTTTGGGAAATGCAGCACATCCTTATTTCACAGGCATTTCCTCTGTTTTTCTGAAACAAAAGGTGGAATAATCAAACAGTCTTTCACAGAACAGATCCTAAACACACACACACACACATGTTTTTAGGAACATTTTGCCCTAATTCTAAAGCAGCGGTTCCCAAACTTTTTTTCCTGCGCACCCCCTACTATGTCCCAACCGGGTTGGCGCACCCCCAATCCCCACTTCAAAAAAAAATGCAACAAAGCTTTGTTTTATCGCCCTATAAAGACTCATGTTTAATCATGCGCTAATAACCAGAACACGCATGACAATAACATCAACAAAGTTTCAATATAATGCAACAAAGCTATGCACAAGCTTCCACTTTTAACCCTTTCACACGTAAGTTTAAAATATTTTAACTGACCCCCCAGCGTGAGTTTTTCAAGGCGACGTTACGGTTTTTAGAACTTGTCACTTTAATGTTTCCATGGTGACGCGTCATTCCTTGTCACGTGACACAGCGCAACCACAACACAGCGCTGAATGAATGATGATCTGCTTTTATGTCATTTTTCCTTTTTTATCAAAAATATTCACAAATGTATTAGCTATAGCATGAAACACTGATATTCCGATTGTCAAATATGTGCAAGTGGATGTGTTTTATTGTTCAAACACCTTCATGATCGTTAGTTTGTGCCACAGAGAATCGGATCTGTTGGATTTACAACACGTGACGTCAATTCCTCCACTTCTCACGAAATACATGAAAGTAAGAGGCCGGTGAACTGGGAGAAGAATAGGGTAAAATGTGAAGCTACGTACACAATGTGTATCTGATATGAATAAAACGTGTCGTCTTATTATAATGAAAAGGATTAATATTGCCGCTTCCATAGAAATTAGCAAAATCAAAATCATTGTTTTGCTAGTACTTAACTTATGTGTATTTAAATGTCTGAAACCTAAAATAAACATTATGTGGTTGAAAACACTCAATGGTTGTGATATATGACAGCACTGGCTCAGCGCCAGCCAACGTGCGAAAGCACATCTGTCACGTTACCGGCTGCAGTGCAGAGCAGTGCGTAGAAGACAGCAGCTGTTTTCAACGTTTCTATCAAAAACTAATAAATTATAGTTTTTTTATTTAAAATAAAAGCGATTACAAAGGAAATGTTTACTGTTCATGGTTTTTATTTTATTGTATGGAAAAATCCCACTTACAAAACAGACCGCCATTACATTTTTCCTCTCGCGCACCCCCTGGTGGCAGCTCGCGTACCCCTGGGGGTGCGCGTACCACACTTTGGGAATCCCTGTTCTAAAGAAACTAATCTCTAAATAAGCAGTTTACCACAGATATAAATTTGTAGTCATATCTCGTATAATATGCATCTTAACACAGCTGCTCTCCATTTGCTGATACTTAATTTGCTGCTTATGTTATCTATTTACGAATGGTCTTACTATATAACATTGCCGTTTTAATTTATACAAAACTGTAACCCTCACTGAGTCAATTTGCTTTCACTAACAGTGAGGCTTTATGGGGACCTTAGTTTTAAACATATTGAAACATATTGAGTCTAGCCACATAGTGATTGCTTTGTTGGAGTGATAATCTGCTGCAGTGCAAAACAGTTAGTAGTTTCATAATATGTCAGACTGATGTGTGTGAGACGTTCCCAGTAGCCTACAGCTGGGCATTTTCTCTAAAGGCGCTTCACTGTGTGTGCTTTCTTCCCCAAGGTGGTAGCCATGGAAACCACTGATGTGTATAGCAGGAGAGCCTTTATAGTTCATGATCAGACTTAAGAGGATGCCGAGTTCCACTCAAACACTATCCTACTTTTGATTACTAAAAGCAAGCGTTGTTTGATCCTTACGCTTGCAGACTGCGCAGCTCAGATGGAACTTCTATTTATTTATGAATAATTCTAATCACTTTGCTCAATATTTGAAGCAATCATTTGACAACACAAGTCATTGCACAAAAATAAAAGTATAATAATAAACTAAAAAAGTAAAGAAATTTAGTTATTTGATTTCAGGATATAGAAGCAATTGACTGGGGCTTTTTATTCTCTGTTTGTTTTCAGGAGGATGTCACGAATAAGGTAGACATGTCTGGACAAGAACAAATATTTCTGCCCATATCTGCCTTATCATCAAGACATGTAGTGGCAAAGTGTGGCCTCTCTTAGGTTTAGGATAATAAATGGAACAAGGAAATGAAACTAAAATTTCCCATATATATATATATATATATATATATATATATATATATATATATATATATATATATATATATATACATACATACACACACAAGCCTGATAGACCAATATGAAAATAGTATTTTCTCTACAATGACTAATTACATTGAAGAAATCACAGTTATCACAGTTAACAGCATTTTTCTAATATATATTCTCTTTGTAGATATTTTTTTTATGATTGCACTTCTTAATCAGAAAAGAACTGTCACACAATCAGTATAATACAATCAAAATCAAAATATTTGAGAAATAAAGGTTTTTTAAAGAATTGCACATGGTAACATTCTTATGAAATTCTTACAATTTATCCTCTCAATTTTCTTGAATTCATAGTTGATCTCTGGTGGTGTTATTGTGCAAACAACATCAAATTTACTTTAAGAAAAAATCTCATAATGCCATTATATTGCTTTGTAACAGATATTATGGAAGGCCATTGATCTCTCAATCTGAAACAGAAACATGGGAAGAAAAACTTGAGACAAGAGGTGGAGTTCGACACTCACCATGGCTGCCCATCGCATCCGATCAGCGAACAACAACACTGTGCTCCCTCGCTGCAGATCTGAGGGCGCACTTATCGATCACAGTGAAGGAGTGTCAGAGGCCACCCTTACAGGTGCCAAAGGTTTCTTTTCTTATTCTTACCTTGAAATCAACGTATTGTTAACTTTTAGGTTTAATCTCATGCACCATTTCTTTATCTTTTTTCCAGCGCCTTCTCCTAGCGCCTTACGACTGGATGTTACCTCATTTGGAGCAGTCAAGGAAGTCATTGCCATTAAGGATTACTGTCCGTCCAGCTTTACCACTCTTAAGTTCTCAAAGGGAGACTGTCTTTATGTTATAGACACATCGGGTGGAGAGTGGTGGTATGCACACAACAGTAAAGAAATGGGATACATCCCAGCAGCCTATGTCCACCCAATCAATTATCGAGACTCGTCGTTCAGTGATAGTGGTATGATTGACAGCCTAGGTGACATTTCTGAGGGAGTGAAAGAAATGGACATCTCAGGGGAGTGGCCGGGGTCCTCCAAAACCACAGAATCTAGAAATGAAAATCCTTTTGTTAATAAACGGATGTCAACTAACCCTTTCCTAAATGGCACGGTGCAAGGCACCTCTGACCAAAACAGTAAGCATAATTTAGCAAATGCTTTGTGTTTTGATAATCTCTCACTTCCCATCTCAAACACCAGCAGCACTGTTAACATTAATGGCTTTGAAAGTGGGCTCTTTGACACACATTTTAGTCCCGGCTCAGGGATCGGTCCAAATCTTCACCGAAACAATTCGATTTGTAGGAGCAAGCGCTGCTACAGCATGTCAGAGCTGTCTGTCCTACAGTCCTTGTCTGATGGGAATCAAGGTTCCTTGAGTTTTTTTGGTGGCATGAAGTCACCTAAACCTGAGCATTATCAAAGTAAAGAGGATTTCAAAACGGCATGGCTAAATCATCGTAAACTTACGCGATCCTGCCACGACCTGGACTCCATTGGACAAAACCCAGGTTGGGGGCAAACCCAGCCAATAGAGACCAACATTGTGTGCAATCTGGACAGTGCTGGCGGTGCCGTGCAGCTACCAGATTCCAGTATCAGCATACATATCCCTGAGGGCCATGTTGCACCTGGTGAGACTCAACAGATATCGCTGAAGGCCCTTCTGGACCCACCATTGGAGCTCAACAATGATAGATGTACTACTGTAAGTCCAGTGGTAGAAGTAAAACTCAGTAACATGGAAACCAAGACCCCAGTCACTTTAGAGATGAAAGTGTCTGTTGTAGTGAAGATAGAGAGCCGCAATACCACAGAGGTGGTGTGCGTAAGAAGCGACTTCAAAGAAGGTCCATATGTCTCGATCCCACATGCATACATGTATGGAGACACGGTTCAAGTGACTCTGGACAATTTAGAACCTTGCATGTATGTCTCTGTGGTTGCCCAAGCACAAACTGTGGCCCCATACAACACGGTGTGGGAACATGTCGTAAAAAAGGTCACTCTTGGGGTATACGGGCCAAAACACATCCACCCATCCTTCAAGACAGTGGTGGCCATTTTTGGCCACGACTGCGCCCCGAATACGTTGCTAGTGAGCGACGTAAAAAAGCACTCACACTCTACTCCACCTGTTGTCCTCCAGCTCTGGGGAAAGCATCAGTTTGTACTAACAAAACCTCAAGACCTTCAAGTTGGCGTGTATTCGAACATGTCTAATTTTGAAGTAAAAGCCAATGAACAGGCAAGAACCGTGAGGGGATTCCAGATCAAACTCGGCAAAGTTGCCCGTCTCGTCTACATGATTGCAGCCCGGGATTCTACTGACATTTTAGATTTTACTTTGCGAATTCAGGTCAAAGATGATAAGGACTGTATCCTGGCCCAGTTTTGCGTTCAGACCCCAACCCCACCACCAAAAACAAGCACAAGCTCCGCTCAAAGGCGCTTCCTAAAGAAAAAGGAAGTGAGCAAAATTGTACTGTCTCCTCTTGCAGCGACCACAAAGTACCCTGTGTTTCAGGACAGACTAGTCAAAAACATGAAATTTGCTAAGTTGCTTAAAACTGTTATAAGACAGTCCAAAAGCCTGTATTTGCTAGAGTATCTTAAAGGAGATGTGATGGCTCTTTTGAGTGAGGAAAAAATTAAATTTAAAGGACATCTATGGACCAAAGAGTGGTACATCGGATATTACCATGGAAGAATTGGGTTGGTGCATGCAAAAAACATTCTAATCATGGGAAAAGTGAAACCTGTTCATTTCAAAGGGCCTGATCTTATGACTACAGTCCTTTTAGAACAGATCCTGAAGCCCTGCATGTGCCTGACATACATCTACGCATCAGTGCGAACGATATTGATGGAGAACGTGGCGAGTTGGAGAGCATTTGCTGATGCCTTGGGCTACATCAATCTGCCTCTGGCACATTTCTGTCGGACAGAGCCGGGCAGTGAGCCTGAAAAAGTGGCTTGTGTTCTCGAGAAGCTTAAGGAAGACTGCAACGCAGCTGAGGGCAAGGAGAGGAAGTCTTTCCAGAAGGAACTCATGAAGGTAAGCGTTGATGTGGATGTGAGAGCACCTTCGTATAGAAACTAAACATACTAATTGTATAAAATTTGATATTTTTTCAAAATAAATTTAAAAAATGATCAATTAACTTTTTCTTTAGTCAAACATTAATTAATTTATTATTTATAAGATTAGCAACTGCAAAGAGAATCGGGAGAAGAGTGACGTTTTTGAAAGTTAACAAGTCGAAAGTCTGAAAGTCAACTATGATGGCAATAGATCCAGCCTGAAATCAAAAAATGTCATTACTGAAAATTATAAAAACTTGATGAAGCTGCATGCAATCGACCTCGCATATGTGATTGAAGGATTTATTCTACACTTTTCGGTTTTGCAAATGAATAGATTTGTATTAATTAAACTATGAATAATACATAATTTCTGCAGTTCATATCAGAGCCAGTCAAATAAATATGTAATAACATTACTCAGAGCACTCTTCATATAACTGTCAATAAAGCTTGATGTGAAAACTTATGTCAACAGGAACATGAAGCAGGATGTTTCCTAGGGAAATATCAAGTTGCATTTTAGCTTGTATTACAAACACACTTTTAAATATAAATATGCTCTATAATGTATCAGTCAATCTGCAGTAATTACCTAAAACAAACCTCTCTATGTCAGAGAGAGTTCATTGAAGACTCTCTAAATAAAAATCACATATTTTAATGTCAAATTAAAAAAGCAATTGTGATTAAACCTCTAAATACAGGTGAAACTCGAAAAATTTGAATATTGTGCAAAAGTTAATTTATTTCAGTAATTCAACTTAAAAGGTGAAACTAATATATTATGTAGACTCATTACATGCAAAGTGAGATATTTCAAGCCTTTATTTGTTATAATTTTGAGGCTTAATTATGGCTTACGGCTATGATAACCTCACAATATTCTAATTTTGAATTTGGGGTTTTCATAAGCTGTAAGCCATAATCATGAGTCTATATAATATTAGTTTCACCTTTTAAGTTGAATTACTGAAATAAATTTACTTTTGCACAGTATTCTAATTTTTCGAGTTTCACCTGTATATCAATATAAAAATGCACATGTAAGAAGGACTTGCCTTGCCTACAACAGTCCACCAGTGGCCTTCTCATTAATCCTGTGTTTTTAATTAGCCATTTTAATGTTAAATATTCAAGGTAAATGTGGTAAATATCTGAAGGTTGACTTCCTGAAAAGTGTAAACACTGTCAGAAATTACACACTTTTTCCTTTAACGTTTATTTTTGGCTGCGATAATCTATGCAATTTTGTGTGTGTGTGATTCAATTACTCAAACCAATTTTGAAAAGTCAGAAACACACCAAATCACCTAACAATAATTTAGCAAAATAGGGTTTTTAAACTTTCAACGTATGTGCAACTGTAAAAGTAAACAACCACCCAAATGAAAAAAAGCATACAGTCGAAATGCTCAAGACTTAAAAAGAATATCTTCAGTATCTGATATCAACACACAGAGACATCATATAAAGGGCATGCGCAGACACGCTTAAGTTTAGTTAATGCTGGGTCTCAACTGAAATAACAATGAGCTCAAACAACATCTGCTCAAAACACCACATTTGTAGTGAGATTAAAATTATGATATTGACAATATACATTGTCACGTAGCACATCCCTTTGACAAAGTCAGTTTAAGAGCTTGATATCACTGAAGTGAAGCTGGCTAAATGATCTTCATGTACTAAAATTAGGAAGGGTCATCTGTGACCATCTCAAACGTGACACCAGACCTGTGAGTGAAAATGCCGGAAGATGTGAACGTGTTGAAGAGTCTTAGTTGTGCAGATGTTTCCTTTCTTATTGTTACCATCTATACAGAAGCATCAAATATGGACCGAGAGGCGCCATAATCCCTCCACACCTACAAATCTATTGCCAGGAGATTGCTAACAGATATGCAACTAATTCTCTGCACGTTTTAATAAACTACTTGCATATTCTGAATAGAGAAGAACTTGCATTTTAGAGCAATGGAATCCCTCTTGAATTCCCTCTGGCTTTTTGATTTATGAATAAAATGAGGTCTGCAGTTAATATAACACAAAGATAATTTACTGTTTTGTTTTACAAAATAAATTACACACAGTCAAATGTGAATTTTGAAACCCATTAGAAATTCCCAAGGGAAGCCGTGGTGAATTAGTCTTTCGGGTTACCTAAAAAATGGACATTCTGACTGAACAGCTTTATAGAACTTTGCAATTCCATTTTTTAATCAGTAAAAGTTCCAGTTGTAAAACTTTTTCCTGGCATATTCTCCAGTCTGGGCTTTATTTAGGGTCAGATGAATAGACATGCTTCAGAAGAACGAGTGAATGTCTCTAAACTTTTTGAGTCTTTGATTCCCAGCGGTCTCCTCCCATTTCCCTTAGCCTATTGTTCGAGCAGAAGAGTGGTTCTGTATAAATGGTCAGAGATTTCAGACAATAGTTTATAAACAGAAAAAAAGAAGAAAGACTGGTCAGCTTACAGGAAATCAAAAGAGACAAGCAAGAGGAAATATAATGAAATATGAGTAATATCATAAAATCAGATGTTAAAGAAGATGAATTTCAGAGAGAAGCGTACTGAAAGCATTTAAGTAATCGTGTGTTCAGCTGTCTTATTATTAATGAAAGCTGCATTGTCTAGTGCACATGCAGTGTTAAATCAAGGCTAAGAATCTAAAGAATGAATGTAAAGAATCTTCTTGATAAAAAATATCTTGATTTGCTCAGACAGGCTTTGTGTGTAATAATATATAATTAAATTCCTGTAGTAGGTCAACTGGTAGATCATGACGCTAACAATTCATGGGTTTCAGTCACGTGACTTTTTTGTTGTGGCCGCCATCTTTAGGACCATTGCGTTAAATCGCATAATCTCTCCCTGGTGATCGGAAAGATGTTGCACACTTAAATAGCACAGATGAAAAGCAACGGTATTTAAATAAAATAGATACTTTAGGTATAGATCCGTATTTACTGTTAAACGAACTGCTGACTCCACTAAAGTCTAGTAAAAACTTGCCAAATTTTACGTTTGCTGACATTTACATCTAACGTTACCTCGTCCACAATCCCTCTCCATGTCCCCACCACTTTTGAAACATCTTGCGGCACGGATGTACCAATACACATAAATAAAAGTAAAATAAGAGGTGATCTAGCACGCTGAAATGTGTTGTTTTTTAAATCAAGTGATCAAAGTGCTTGTTGACTCTGGATCAGTGGTGCAGAAACAGTGTTCTCTCGTGACTCGCGCACACCGCACAGTCTTCACACGGATGCGCGCTTTAATGAAATCACAAAATAAAATGCACACAAATGTGTTCCTGACTGATATACAACCACTGATAAACACAATCGATTTTAATAAGGGTTTTTTAATAAAAAAGGGTACGAGGGCGGATTAGAACCCATAACCTCTGACACGCTTGGCAAAAGTTCCGCCACTGGACCATCAAAGTACATATGTAAAATAGTCGGATGTTGAATGTCATTAAACAACAAATTAAATTCAATGGACTATTTACATTGATTGCTGGACATCGTAATGTTATTGTACAGGTATATCTGATTTATGATTTAGTGTTGTATTAAATGCCCCCATGAAGAAAATTTTCTTGATAACAGGAAGGGTAAGTGGCACTCTGTTAATCAAGCAATATTAACGTTACACCAGTAATCGCTGAACATAAAAGCATCGTTGAACTGAATTGCTAATAATGTTGGTAAAGCACATATCTCTTGTATTATCAGTGACGTTTGGACACCTTTATTTTCAATTCTCATTTATTTGTATAGCGCTTTTCACAATCAAAGCAGCTTTTTTAGAAAATGCATGTGTCTACATTACAATTTAGAGTGTCCGAGTTATGCATTTCAGCAATGTATATAAATCATGCAGTTAGCTAATAATCTATTAATTTAAACAATGCATTAAGGCAGAAACAGTGAGCTGTAGTTTAGCATACTGAAGCAGGTAACAACAACATAATTCAGCCAAACGTATAACTAAGGTTATAATGTAAATATAGATAGCGGTCTAGAATAAGGTTGTATATAGAGAATACGTGTTCCAATTGTAAACTACATGTTTTAATTTAGCTAGCTAACCTGTAATTGCTAATTTTACTTTTATTTAAATTTCCAGGTCAACGTTAATTTCTCAACATATCTTTGTGATTTGCTGTTATCACAGTTTACAGCACAGCAGATAGACGGCATGTTGCAATTCGGTCCTACAAATGGCGGCCGCTCCACTGTGTGACGTCACATGAAATCTATGAATACCTGTCAATTGGATTCCAAATGAACATATTCTTTTTTTTTTAAGCTTGATTTCACTGCAAGTCACTTTACTGAGTAAAAAACACTCCGATGCGCTACTCAATTGTAAATGTGTGTATTTACAGACTTTTTATAGGTCAAATTAACAACACTTCTTTTGGAACTGTTTAACTATTTTCCAGAATATTAATATAAAATAAACTTTCTCTGTGCCAAAATTAGCCAGCTAGGTTCACTGGGTAAACTTTGAATCATTGTATCATCAGTAAGAAAGAATCTGCACACCAAAAAATAAACAAATAAATCATGGAGATAAGAGGCTCAGAGATATAGGAAAGTCCAATGGACTAAAACATTTTTTACTTTTCTTTTTTTGTGCACCTCAATTTACAAGCATCTTGTCTGACATTATTTGTTTGTTTTATTGTTTTATTATTATTATTTTATGTGTGATTCCAGCATATTAAGAGAAATTTATTTTTAAATGATTACACATTTGGATATTCTGTTTTCTAGTTACGTTTACTTGACATTCTTGTCATATCTGAGGAATTAACATTTGGTTCTGGATTCTAAGCAGCAGATTTTGTTTGTCTTTCTGTTACTACTGGGTCTCTGGAGGGTGTACTTAATAAGTTCCTGACTGTGACAGGGGTCAGAGGTGAGACACCTCAGGAAACAGGTGCACATGAAAGGCCTTATCTTTCTTTAGCTAATGCACACAATCAATGTGTACAGAGTGTGATACTTTCACACACAATATGATCTCTATTTCACTTGCATCCAGACAGTGAGTGGCAAATTCACTTCTTGTGCTACAGGAGAGGAATGAAGATTGTACCGATCACAAAAATGTATCTTCCTTTTAGCACTGACTGAATGTACAAGTCAAAAACATACCGTCCTGTTTGTTTGTAGAACTAACATCTTTGATAAGATGGAAAGCATCCAAGACTCCTGCTATCTCATTGCTCCGTGTTCAGCGCCGTGTTCCTCCCCCTCCGAGCAGACTTCCTGTCATTCCAAACATTCCAAGCCATGGAACTGGAATCAGAGATTAGTGGGTTCAGGGCGTGTACTTTTAAACACTTGCTGCTGTTGTGAGACCATATTTGAGTGCATGAAGAACACCTGCACTTTTGACAAATGCATGTTCAAATGCTGAATTACATTCACTGATGGCACTAGTAGAAAGACTGATTCTTTTCTTTATTGTATAAAGCGCTAACAAAGTATAAATGTCACATGTCATCATCATCAGATCAGTTTTGTAGATCAGTGAATGTCATATATTCAAAAGGCACAGTGGAATAGAAGTCCTTATTCAGTTTTTTAAATGTCAGAACAAACTCTAAGGGAGAAAAGAAAGTCACGTTAATAAGACAGAACACTTGCCAAAAGAACGGCCGGATATTCCACCCTAACATTTCCCTTGTCCAAGGGGCCCGGAGTCACTCTCATTATATTGTGCTCACAGGAGCATGCACGTCGCTTCCTGCATATCGCCACATTTATCAAAGCACCCTGGATGATGACTTGACCTCTTGATTGGTCCATATTTTCTGAGGCGGTGCTTAGAAAACCACTAACACTATCTCTGTTTTGTAGTTTGTATTGCTGTCTTGGTGAAGGTTACTTATTAGAACAGGCTTTATTTAGCAAAAACTAAGGGAAAAAGAAAACGCTTTTTTAAATAGCAGATGACATGGTGTGAGATTATGAAAGCAGATAAACAATAGTACACAACTACACAAACTATAAATTTCAGTTTGATTTGAACTATTATACTGTGTCAAATATTTGCATATAGATTCAACGTCATTTACGATTTTGGGCATGATATTTTAAGCATATATGGGGTAATGCATTGTAGGGAAAATCGAAATCGACCGAAATTAATTCACAATCTCGAACTTCGAATTAAAAAATGGAATCGTCGATGCTGCCATGCCCCCATGTCACGTGCGTTCGGCGTGCCAAGCGGGAAAAAACACGCGTGTTGAAAAGCTGGAGTCTATGGTCAACCTCCTCTAAATTAGCTACAGCCATTCAAAAGATAGCATGGCAACTGCAGATGCAGGAGACCCATCGACAGAACTTGAACCCCCTCCTCTTTCATTGAAGTCGCAGGTGTGTACGTTTTTTGGGATTTCCAGTAGTTATGTTGACAACGTTCGTGCTTCAAAAAAAGCCACAGTTTACTTTGCAGACATCCCAAGTCTCGCGGAAGTTCCGGGAGTCTCCCGCATATTGATAGCGGCTCCCTGATGCCCGCAAATTAGTTAAAATCTCCCGGAATCTAGAGTGCTCGAGCAAGAGTGAGCGAGCAAGAGCGCGCATGCGAGACAGAAAAAACTGTGCTCCAAACCGTATAGCGCGCGCACGGCAGAGAGGGAGAGAGCGAGAGACCTTGCGTATGTGCCTCATGAAGCGCATGTAAGACAGTCAGAGAGCATCCTGATTGGCCGGTTTCGGCTTTAAAAAATAAATAAATGTAAAAATCGAGAATCGAATCGAAAATTTTATCGAATCGAGGATTTGGAGAATCGTGACACCCCTACTAGGGATGCACTGGTAATAAAATTATGGCCGATACTGACCTACCATTATTTTTTAGATGTTAAAGCTGATAACCAATAAATGGTCAATGTTAAAATTTGTAACTGAAAACAATGAAAACTGAAATAAACCATTTTGAATGTTACAATAGTGTTTGGGCATACAATATTAAAATGTACAGTTTGAGAAAATGGATATTCCTTTGCTAAAGACTGCATCTAGATGGACAGTTACATTTTTGTTATCATTTACCCTCATGTCGTTCCAAACCAGTATGACTAAAATAACATATTTTGAAAAATATGTCTCTTTTTTGTGCATGCAAGGAAAGTCAAGGGGTTCCTGTGTGGTTTTGGACCCCACTGACTTTAACTGTATAAATAAAAACAGTTCTTCAAAATAACTTATTTTGTGTTCCACAGAAGAAAAAAAGTCATGCAAGTTTGGAACATGAGGGTGAATAAATGATGACAGTATATTAATTTTTGAGTGATCCCTATAACACCTTTATGAAATTATAACTCTTAAGCAAGTGTTAGACAATTGCAAAAGAATTGCACAATTAAATTTCCATTATACCAATATATACCAATAGAGAAGGAAATTTGGTATGCATTTCTGTATATTTCTTTCAGGCTCTTCTGAAGATGGACTGTCAGGGCCTGGTGGCACGGCTGGTCATGGACTTTGTGCTGTTGACCACAGCGGTGGAGGTTGCGGGACGCTGGAGGGAGCTTGCTGAGAGACTGGCTAAAGTGTCCCGGCAGCAGATGGAAGCATATGAAGCTCCACACAGGGACAGCAGAGGACAACTGGACAGCGAGGTATAAACAAACTCACAATGCACCCAAACCAAATTTACTCACCATCATTTACTTTAGTTAGTGTGTAATGTTGCTGTTTGAGCATACACAACATCTGCAAAGTTACAACGCTCAAAGTTCAAAGCAAAGGAAGATATTTGCTTTTAAAGAAATAGTTTTTTAAGGACTAATACAAACAGCTGGTAGGGACTACACGACATTCCTCCCGGGTTAGTGACATCACTAACCCTAAAATGTACATAAACCCCGCCCCCGGGAACACACAAGCAGTGTTGAGAAGAGGAAGAGTTGTTGTAGTACAGCACATTTGTGAGTCTGTATACAACAAATGCAATAGCATGTCACTCTGTAGGCATCTTACAACAGTTCCTAGAGCTTCCCACACAAGCGATTTTATAGATTATCATGACAGAATATGCTAATCAAAGACTTGAAGATAGTTAACTCCACATCAGCAACATAAATTCATCAACTAACCATTCAGAAACATCCTGTTGCAGTCTACGTTGTCACTTCTTCTTGAGTCTCTCCATCATTGTCCGACTCCAGTTTCAACATAAAAGGCAGAACAGTTTCTAACATTATAGTGCTTGTCTGCGTGAGGTAATCGGAGCTGTTAACACACATGAGCTCGTGAAGCTCCGCCCTTTTGTGTTGGTAGCAGCAGCTCATTTGCATTTAAAGGGACACACACGAAACTACGCGCTTTTACTGACCCTCAAAAAGGGACAACTTTAACATGCTGTACAAAATTCTCTGTGGGGTATTTTGAGCTAAAACTTCACATACACACTCTGGGGACAACAGATACTTATTTTACATATTATAAGAAGGGGCATTATACCACCCTTTTAAGCTTTACATATGGTTGAGTACATTTCTGGGTGAAATATTCTTTTAAAACTGACTGGCTATCAACTAAAATACAAGGCTATACTCCTACAGGAATTTAACTTAAGAGCATGTTTTATTAATGACAAGTCATGAATGATGATTTTGGAATGTGGAAGCTCTGTTATTCTGTGCTGGTGCTGATAGACTCTCAGAGTACAGAGTAACATTAAATAGGGAGGCACAATATATCTCATGGCAATTTGTAACTATTTTACGTTTTGCAGAATTGGTGGCTAATTCATATGATCTCATTCGTATGTTTTTATACAATCTGCTTACGCCCCGCTGACAAATTAGGGGTGTGCTTAGGACATTCATGCTTACAGTTTTTTTCTTTTTAAAAATCGTACATTTTCGTACAAATCACATTGTACAAATTCGTGTCAAATCACCACCTTGTAAAATGCATATATTTTCTTATGAGATTGGGTTGTAAAAACGTGTTGAGTTTGTTTGCACAGTTTACACAGTGTTTAAAACACATTGAAATGCTAAGGACGTGTAGCCTGGCTAACGCCAGACCCAATTCTCGTTGAGACTTGGGTCTGGGAACCACATGTTCATTTTCTCGTATTTGAGGCGTGGTTTACGAATGCCCAGAGCCGTTTATTGGGTGCTAAGAATGTCTATCAAATGCGCCTGTACGTAGCTCATAGCCAATCGTTTCGATTATACCAGATGACGTATGTAGAGCGACAGAAATTAGACGAGGGAGACGACGATGGCCGATGGGTCAGAGATTTATGTGTAGCCTACACGATGGCGTGTATCTAACGGCCGTTTCACACCGCATGTGTGAGCGGCGCGTATTTTTTTCGCTGTGCATGTTAATCAATGAGTGCATTCACACCGGGAGCAGCGCGTGAGCGTCGAGCAGGAGCGGCGCGTGAGCAGCAGTGAAGCGGGGGTTTCGAATCTGTTTTTTGCTGCATTGCTCACGCTAAATTAAAGTGAAAGCACACTTTTGATGGACAAAAATAAATGTGATTTCACACAAAAAGTGCCCAAAATGCACAGAATTAGCATGTCTATTGAGTTTTAACAAGAACTTGAGTAGGCAAATAAAAGAAAATAAAGACTCTAAAATATTTATAGAAGATTTACCCGGTAAAAACTTGTTTTTAATTATTCAGTTTGGGTGAAAGTTGTGTATTATATAAATAAAAAAACTAAAGTAAACTAGCCAGAAAATATTATATATAAACGTTATTTTAGTTCATGTAACGTTAACACACAGACAGCTACAGGCTAGCACAACCCAAATCAAACACGAGTGTCTGGTTTATTTGTGTGTTTTGTTTTTTATCCGCGGAGTTGCGGTCTTGTAAACATCGAAAGTATGACTGAAACTAATAGATTGGAGCCATTTTCTGGGTTGTTTTGTTGTATTACATTTAACTTATATGCGAATGTTGTACACCTCCCCATTACAAACTTTCAAGACTATCAATGTTATAAAATGACCAACTTCTAAAAACAAATGTATAGTTGTCTTTGTAAAGAATTGCTCGTTTATATATAATGCCGAAGTCATATTTCAATCTCTTTGGAAAACAAGAAAAAACAAAATGACTTAGGCAATTATGCTATGAGGCTAACGATATGTAGCTTTGGAGCCGCTGCTGTGACACTGTACAAACTTCCAGTGTGAATACTCTCGCGCGTCTGCAGCTGTAGTTACGCTGACGCGCTGCTCAAATGCCGCTCACGCTTGCGGTGTGAAACCTATGTGTGAAACGGCCGTAAGGCTGCATCGAAAGGTAACTTCGCGTCTACTGCCATGTTTGATCCATAGGTATAAACAAACTGCTTTGGTGTGTCGCATAGACGCGTCATCGTCTTGCTGCTCCCTCCCCGTTCTGTGATTGGTTCCCTAAATGAGGCGAAAATTTGGTCCATGGTATCCATACTGCCTTTCAGCGTGAATAAAATCGCGCTGCGGGAAGGCAGTATGGGGAAACCCAGACTAAAGGACGTGGCTCAGATTGTAGAACATTGATGTGGCGAGCTGGATGAGGTCGAAGTCCGTGGGAGAACGCTACGAGGCCGGTGGCGTGATTATTACTGAGCAAGTCGACACCTGCGCGACGCACCAGTCTCGTATCTCTCACGGAGGAGCGGAATCATAAAAGGAGGAGCGACGACAGTGGACATCGAGAGACTGGTGCGTCGCGCAGGTGTCGCTCATTGGTAATCACGCCACCGGCGACCTCGTCCTGCTCACCACAATTGACATTACAGACAACTGTGCAAACAAAACACAGACATAGATTGTGTTTACATAAAGTTAAGAAAAAAAAAAGTATATCTGAAGTACACTGCAAAAAAAATATATTATCAATAAGTTGACAACATTTTCTAACATTACTTTAACTCATCAAAATAAGTTAAGCAATATTTAACTTTTTTAGTTATACAAGTTTTACTAGATTCAACTCATTTTTTAAGACAGTTTAATGTAATTTAAGTTGAATTGACTTAAACATCCAAGCTGATTGTACTTAAAAATTTAAGGCAGCAACTTTTTTTTTAGTGTATCGAATGTTGAATCTTCTAAATTGTAACAAATGGATAAAGAACAATGTCCTAGTGAGATTGGTGCGAGAGACAGTAGCTGACATATGAAAAGTTTAAAAATCAAGCGCAGCGTCAGTTCTGGCTGGTCACATTAGTCAAGCTCACATCAGCTGACTCTCAGCTGATCCACGTCTACCATTAGGAATACGACGCCCAGCACAGCATTCTTATATAAGCTCCTTCAGTATTGTCAACAGATATCGCGCTTCTCAGGATCTAATTACCTTCCTCCATTCCCAGCTCCTCCTCTCGGCCAGTCAGGATTGGCATTCTGATTCCCTTTGAATCTGACTAAATTCTTGAATTATGTTGTACATTAAGGGTACGTTTACACGACAACGATGTGCTTAAAACGGAGAAGTTTTTCTTTTCAGACGATACCATTGTAAAAACGATCCCCATTCACACGGATCCACGAAAACGACAAAAAACGCTGTATTCTTCTGCCAGGCCATTAGACGGCAATGAAACACGTAATATGCATGTGCACGACGTCATCGTCTTCAGAGATTCACGTTTTTGCTGTTTACGCAGAGACTGTTTTCAAAAACTTGCACTTTGAAACCCGTTTGAAACCCTTTGCGTTTTCAGGCACCCAAAACGCCATTGTCATGTAAACGAACAGCCAAAGCGCATAAAAAGTTTTACGTTTTTAGTTGAAAATGGTGTCGTGTAAACAGCCCCTAAAATTCTTAATTAATGATTATCTGCAATACATTCATGTTGGTTCTGTTCTGTTTACCCTAAGGGGGGCTTATCCATGCTAGGCTGCATGGATGCGCAGGGAGTTCTTGCCCATACCGCCAATCTGTATGCTAATTGTCAATCGTGTTTGACGATAGTGGTCCTGACAGAACTGGGTTTGAGCAGCGATTACAGCAAACCTAAGTGTTTGCATCTAGCTCAGAAAAGGAACCAAAATGTTCTACCAACAATTGATGAGATTATGAGCTTCCTCTTACTCTTTGTTTCACTGGCTTTGGGAATTTGCACACATTCACTCTAATGGAGAGTATACAGGTATAGACACCTGAATATCGTGTCCATGCAGGTTTACATGTCAAACTCAAATTAATATTTAAATTGTTTTCCTCTCACTAAGGCTATGTGGAAACCTGCCTATGACTTCCTGGTCACATGGGCAGCCCAGATTGGGGACAGTTACAGGGATGTGATTCAGGAACTTCACACTGGATTGGACAAAATGAAGAACCCCATCACCAAGCGCTGGAGACATATCACTGGCTCCCTCGTCCTTGTCAACTGTCTGGATCTCCTACGGAGCTCCGCCTTTAGCCCCTCCCCTCAAGATGACTGTGCCATATAAGGACTGCCTACACCAACTGACTTTTACAAGACCCAGATACACCTGATTTCAATTTATATTCCTAAAGGGCCCCTATTATGCTCATTTACAGGTTAATAATTTTGTTTAGGGGGTCTAGAATAAAATTACATGATTAAATGTTCAAAAAACTCATTTTTCTTTTAATTTACATAGGCACCCGTTTTCACCCTCTGTCTGAACGCTCTGTTTTAGTTTAGGTTTTTTTTTTTAAACCTGCCTTCCGGAAAGCCCAGTCTGCTGTGATTGGTCTACCGCTTGGAGCGTGTGTCACAAATATAATTCCCCTTACCATAACCGGCGCGTTTTAGCTTCTGGTGCTGTGAACAGGCACTGTAAAGACTACTGTAACTACGCTATGGCGTCAGTTTTGCTGTATCAGATCGAGCCTGCGTCTGATAATGACAGTCAAGAAGAACAATCTGATCGACCCGAACCACCATTGCAAGCATAACTTGTGCAGGTCACAGTGGCATTTTTTTTTTTAAACCTCTCTTCCATTTCAGATATGATACAACTTTCTCCATTAAGACATTAAACTGCATAGGTCAGGACGGAGTTGTTAAAAAAATGGTGAGAACACAACAAAAGTCTGTGGTTATACTGCTGAGAAATAGGGTTTAGATACTGATTCTTTTTATTTTTATGCTTTTGTAAGTCCATGTAATGATGTTTTTCCCTCGCACGCAGTAAAAAAAAAAAAGAAACTCCAGTTTACATGCACACACATTTATAATAGGTAATAGGTCCTCTTTAAAGACCCTTTTGTTAATAAAAAATTGTACATTGGACCAAATGTGTATTTCTGGTGTTTTAATACAAAACAAAGGCCTCTATCTCATGGATATGTAAAACTTCAAATGTAAAATACGATATGATTGTTCAAATTCATGATTTTATACTTGTAAATTTTTTACAAAAGACATGCTTTTACATAGGCTACTTTTCACTAATACTGTAATATAGGGCTGTGCGATTAATTGTAATTGATTTTCAATTTTGGCTTCCAACGATTATGAAAACAACATAATCGAGGTAAAACAATTATTGTGCTGCTGCCACATTCAGTCCAGGGCACCTTCCTTTCCTTCACAAGAACGCTTTCGTTCCTCCCTAATTAACCCAAACTTAACATCCAAAACAGCCATATATGCAAGTATTGTAAACTGCAGTCTACTGTTGCTAAACTGTGGGAAGTGTTTGATAATAAACAGTGTTATTAAAAGCACATTATGCCGCTGTTCCCCTGGTGGCTTTCTGTGTGCACAAACGAAGATAAGAAAATGGGCTTCAGATACGCACCTAAACGCGTACACACACAAAAAAAAGTCAAAATGCCTTTTTGGAGAGTATTTACGTAAACACAGTGGGTTATGTCTTAAGTAAACGTACAGCGTTGAGGAAGAAAATGTGTGTGTAACAGTATATTGTAATTGTGCATTAGCTTTTAAAGTGACAGCAGCCTAATAAACATGCTGCAGTCTGTCATTAATGATAATCAAACAATAAAGGCAAATCACTCGCTGATCTTGACTGAATAACTTAAGTAGCTTTAATAGGGATTAATCTATATTTAATGTGTACAGTAAGACTATGCAGTGTCATATCATATGCAGTGTTATTTTACATGTCATAATTATTATTTTTTGTAGACTATTACATATCTGAATACAACTGTTAGTGGCTACATCTTTCTGAAAATGTAAAACACTGTTTATTTAAATAGTATTTTCGTTCTGTTGTATTTATTTGTCCGTTTTGTTTGTAATTGATTTCTCTGTTCTTATTGTACTGTTGACTCTTGTCTTCTGTGATTGTTTTGAGGCCTTTTTCTTACATTAGTTAACCTAGTATTAGTTTTTCCTGAAGTATCGATAATTGTGAAATTTCACTGATAAAGTTACTCGATAGTGAAATAAGACTTTGATCATATCGCCCACCAATAATCAAGTTAAATAATCTTCAGTAGGCTATTGACCAAAAATAATCGTGATTATTAGGGGTTTCACGATGCGTCATCAATCCGGAAGTCGGCCATTTTGGAGGCACAGAACGTAAATAATGCCACTGAACTGAATCATGAACTGAATGCACTCGCAAATTTGGCTGATTATTGCTGCTGAAAAAGTTTTGGTTTGTACCAATCGGTCACATCGGGAAAAAACATGTCGAGTGCTATAGACTGTCAAAATTTAAAGAGAAGAGTGCAAAAAAACTGATGAAAGAAGGCGTTTGTGGTTGAGAGAGGTACAGCATCAGACACGTGTACGGTAAATGAAGCGTTGACTATGGCTAAAATGTCGACGTAGTTAAACTATGGCTACATTCACACTGTCAGTCCAAATCCGATTATCTTTGTATCAAATTGGAATCTGATCTAAAATGATGTCCACACTGTGTATCGCAACTGTTCAGATCCGACGTGTGTGTCCATGCATGTTATTTGGTAATGGCAATGACTTTGCGTTGATGGAGGGGGTTGCATTTGCAATATAATGTTAGATGTTGTCTTATTTAAATGTTACAACATGGAAATGTGTAACTTAGCCCCCGCGCTGGACTACTGCGGCAGAACTGTTGGAGGCTGGTATACTGCTTTTTTCCCACGCTCGTCTGCGCCGGTTTCAGAAATAATACTTTTCCGCTCGTCCGGCACTTTGCAACAACACAGCATTGTTTCGGCAGTGACTTTCAGCATGTTTCTTAAAAATGACGTTTGCATTTTAAGACATACCGCGCGAAATCCGATCGTTCAGACTGAGGCTGATGTCCTGATATGTGATTTTAATAGGATTTCAAACCACATGTAACTTGAAACGGATTTCATGTGCTTTTTTGGACTGACAATCTGAACGTATCCTATGTCGGGATAATAAATAGATGGAAGAATTGCAGTAATGTTACGTGCTAGAGAAGCTAACTCGTTCGGATCTTTACCACATATTAACTTTAGTTTGTCAAAATGTTGCGCTCTCTCCTGCTTCCCAAGTCCTTCTCTATATGATTTCGCACCTACCACGTGTTTTTTCCGTGGTTTATAAGTGTAACAATGTGTTCAGTAGTACATAAACAGTGCAATCCATACTGTTGTTTACATCCTAGTGCCTCCATAATGGCCGCGCATCCGGGTTACCGCCCAGAACGTGACGTTGGTGAAACCCCTCTAATCGAAAATGGCTAATCGAGCAGCCATTTTTTCTCTTTTGTTTTGTTGTTTTATAACGACATTTCATGCTAAACTGCCTGTTTCACTTTGCTCTAAGTGTCTATTGTTTATGAAGGCCTACTTCAATTTTAAGTAATGTTATAAATATAAACTTAAACACACATCAGATGTAAGAAAGAAAAAAGCTTCTGATCATCAACTGACAAATAAAAATATTTACTCGCCATTAGTGCGCTGAAGGTGATGAGAACGTTTCATTTTACCATTTTTAGTGCTGTTACTTTATTTCAGCGTGTTTTCCTTTTGTTTATAATTTCCTCTGATAAACGAAATTAATAGGTTTCTGGCTGGAGTCCATCATTTGTACCGCAATTGTAATGTAATTTTCATTTATTCCGCTGAATCTGCTCAAACTAAAATTCACAGCTCACAAAAAATTTAAACTTTGCTGCATGGTGGAAGTCGAAACTGTTTCGCCTGTGGGAGAAGCTTGCGTTCAAGAGGTGAGTAGCCTACGAATTAAAGTGTGTGGAGCTAGAAGAATAGGTCTATCTCTAAGTAAAATGTCCCTAATAAGAAAGTTCCAAATTCTCTGACAAAATGACAGTTATCATTGTTTGATGTCAATGTTGCCAGCACGAAGTAGCATATTAGCCTATTATTCATGCGGCCTCTGTATTTCGTTCCAGTCCAATGGTTTATACTGTAATTCCAAACTGCACATATAGATTTTTCATAAAATAGTAGTTTTATTAATTATTTTATCAATGTAAAAAAATGATCACTTTGTTCATTTAAAGTTTAAATGCATTAATAAAAAAAATTGTATATGATTTATTTCTTTATTCTGTGGGAAATAAATGCTAACATCACACATTATGACTGCTAATCTACGTCTCTGTGTCCAGTTTGCATATTTTCGCCATGCATTGTACAACATCACAGTAGATTTGGTTACACATTTACTGTGCACATTCTGAGAGGATACTGTTCTGATTTAGATTATAATATACGCGTTGAAAATAATGTTTCTTTCATTTATGTCGACCTGTTCTCCAAAGAGCTTATGTGGCATCAAGTTGGCTTGAATAGACACATTTGTAAAGGTTAATTGTTTAATGTTAAACTGATGTGTCTGTGAGCCACAAAGCCATATATTCACTCAAATATATTTGTTGCAGTCCTAGTGTTAACTTGAACAGCATTCGAAGTTCATTTTCTTGCTGTGGCTACTGAGTTTTACAAACGTCAAGTATTATGTGCAAATTCCAGTCTTATCACTCCAGCATAATTTTTCTCTCTGCTTGACAGGCTCGCCCAAGAGAAATTTTGACAAATGTAAACAGTCATCACTGTGGGTCTAACAAAAATGTGCGTACATCTGCCCATACAGTAGACACAGGCATGCAGACAGCATAGTTCATGTCACAAGCCTTTCATCTGGACCCTCTCTCACTCTCTAGAGGAAACCATGCTTCTGACAAAAATCTGAAAGCTGTGTGTGTGTGTAGCAGTAGCTAGGGTATCAGGGGCCCCGGTGCAGGTTGTTGCTGTGGGCCCCCTTCAAATCGCGTTCCGAAGCAGGGGGGGCTCCCCTCAGATGAAATCACGTTCAGGGTCTACCTCGGTTGAAATCGCGGGGCCTAAAGCCGGGGTCCCCTATAATCACCACCTTTCGCCCTGCTAGCAACAGCCCTGTGTGTAATGAACATGTAGAATTAACTGTGAAGATTTTATACAGTTGTACCTGCTATTCCAAAGATACAGTCAAGCAACAGTCAAGTCTGTTTATGAATGTGTCTGCATTTGCTGTGCCTGTGATATGCCATAAATAAACTGTGTTCCTCCTTGGGTCAGTGAGCACTGGAGTTTTTTTTTTTTTCTCCTCATTTCAGGAGGACAAAGACAAATTACTTTCCTCCGTACATTGCTTCATTTTTCTTTCTCTTTATGCCAATGCTAAAAAAGAATGGTGTTTTGAAATAGTCTATGATTGAATTTTACATCCTGAATCATTTTCTTACTGCCTAAATAGGCAATTGGGTAATTACAAAATAAGGCCAATTCTCATTCCCAGTAATTTCTCCAACATTTCCATCACATCTACCATCTAGTGGACAAACAGTTGTAAGCCTAAGGTTTACTCAGTAAAGACATACCCAGATTGTTGCCCAAACCGTATCTGAGTTGTGTTCAATGAGCAATAATTGTATGATACCTTAATTAAACCCGACATTAATGATTATCATTTGTAAAATAAACTTTTGTCATTTTTGTGTTGTTGATGCTGGTTCCTTTGGGTTATTATCTTTCTTCTGATTAAAATTCGGAAAGTGCTTTTAACTTTTCAGTCTATGATAGTTTGCCAATTCAGTGCTCCTTTTCTTAATTGCCTTATTGCACCGATCTGTTGATAAATACTTTTGCCAATGGATTTGTCAACAATTTTAATTACCCGTCTGAATTAGTGAATTAATGACTTTTCTTAATTTTATGAGGACTGGTTTTAGACAATTTTGATTTGATAGCATGCCACAACACTCATCCGTGAAAAGTGTTACATTGCTTACGTTTTTGGTCTCAGGCCCCAGCTACAGTGTCACCAAATGCAATGAAGTTTAACAACCAGTCTCTGACCGGTGTACACATAGAGATACACTCTTTTTTTTTTATTGACCGTGTTTTTTCCGGGGTCAATTTGAAAGGCTGGGTTTTGAAAAACACCCTGTACCTACTATGAACGGCAGGTGGCGCTACATACCAACAATAACAATATCCGCAATGTAACTGAAATAAAACCGTGAGAAAATGCTCGTTTTAGAAAAGATTTTGGCCAGAGGAATTACAAATTTAATCACTTTGAAGAGGTAGCCTATAGGTTATCAGGCTATGCTATAATGATTCAAATTTGCTGTGGCAATATAGGCCTAAGTAGGCCTATCTTATTTAAATGATGATGAATGTTGAAATACGTGTCTAAAATGTAGTATTTGTTCCTAACGTGTTTCTGAACAAATCGGTACAACCTTGTTGACGCACCCTGGTTTCTTTACGAATGCAACACATCTTCCATGAAAACTAGGAATAACCTGTGTCCTGTGCACTGACTGCTGAGGAAGGTTGTGTGGAAAACCATTTAAACATTTAATCCTTAGATTAGAACCAACTAGTGGTGAACTATTTTTGTTACTATAACTTATTTACTTAAATTGTATTACTGGCCAGTATAGGCTACACTCTTAAAAAATAAGGTTCTTTATTGGCATTGATGGTTCCATGAAGAAATGGAACCTTTCCATTTCACAAAAGGTTCTTTATAGAGGAAAAGGGATATTTAGATTAGGCTATTAAAATGTTTTTCCACAATAAGAAGAACATTGTTCTTTTAAAAACTTTTTACTAAAAGGTTCTTTGGGTAACCCAAAATTGTTCTTCTATGGCATCGCAGTGAAAAAACAACGTGGAAACTTTATTTTTCAGAGTGTTTCGAAATCACTAACTAGCCTATTATTCATTAGATATAGACGTAATTAATAATTAATGAGCGACCATTGAACTATTGAAAAATAATGTACATTTTGTGTGTGCATTGTTTTTAAATAATTCATTGACTATTAGCTTCATTTAAGCACACAATGTTTTACATGGCAAAATACATTTAGGTTGCAGATAGGTAACATCACACATTTTAAAATAATAGCTAATAAAAATAATAATAAAGCAAAAATTAGGCTTTCTTTATGTAGACTCAAATTGTCCATATAATGAGTTTTACTGTAAACAAAGAATTAGTGCAGGCTACTGGTTAAATAGCCTAGGTCATATCTAAAAGTCTAATATTTAATAGTGAAAAAGATAGTCATTAGTGGACTACCAAGTGTTTAAAAAAAATAATTGCTAGTAACAAAAACGTATAGCCTACTAGTTAGTTTAAAGGAATAAATGGCTTGCCATAAAAGGGGTTTGTTTTTCAGTTTCCAAATGCGGGCGGAGTTTCTCCAGTGTGAGGAGCAGCTGCTGCAGGGCCACTGCTGGCTTTCATTCATTATCATACATTCGCTTGTGTCCATCACCTCGTGAGCAGACACGTTCGTGTTATGTCTAAAACACATTTCTGATCACATTCATTCGTCGCTAATGTGACGACCACCGGGTCCGGGAGAGACTGAACACCGAGACGTCTGGAGGAATTTGAAACAGTTTGTGGTGGGAATGTTGATGTGAGCTGTTACTGCGGAGACTCTCCGCTCACAGAGGAGTGTTTACCGAGCACGAGATGACCACTCCATCACATCCAGTCTGAATTTGGTCGAATCGCTGGTGCCGAGGGGGTCTGCTTTGGTTTTACCCCTGCTAACGAGGAGATCAAAATGGGGAACAGTTTCTCCAATATATCCGCGTTTCAGTCCCTCCATATAGTGATGCTTGGCTTGGATTCCGCAGGGAAAACCACGGTCCTTTACAGACTGAAATTCAACGAGTTTGTCAACACTGTACCCACAATAGGATTCAACACGGAAAAGATCAAGCTTAGTAATGGCACGGCCAAAGGAATAAGCTGTCATTTTTGGGATGTTGGTGGGCAGGAGAAACTCCGGCCCTTGTGGAAATCTTACAGTAGGTGCACTGATGGCATTATTTATGTGGTGGACTCAGTAGACGTGGATCGGCTGGAGGAGGCCAAGACAGAGCTCCATAAAGTGACCAAATTTGCTGAAAACCAAGGAACACCGCTTTTAGTCATAGCTAATAAACAGGATCTGCCGAAATCTTTGTCTGTGGCTGACATAGAGAAGCAGCTCGCGCTCCAGGAGCTCACGCCTGCCACTACATACCACATCCAACCGGCCTGTGCCATCATCGGTGAGGGGCTTCACGAAGGCATGGACAAACTGTATGAAATGATAGTCAAACGACGAAAAAGCCTCAAACAGAAGAAGAAGCGATAACTCTCTTAGCCTGAACCTGCCTTTTTTCCATTGCTGATGGCCTGAGTCATTGGGTTTGCCATTACAACATTGCACTGTTGACATTCATCTGAATGGTTGGTTGTTCTCAAGCTGGATTTATGTTGCATGTGATTGTGATGGCGCAGGTGAACCAAAAAAATGGAAATTATTTGTTTAATATAAAAGGGCTGGTCCTGATTAAGCTGCCATTTATTTGCATAGCCTGGTCATCAGTTTGAAGGAGTTCTCTGAAGCACTGTGAAAACTGCTGTAACATTTCATGGAATGCTTGATATCTTATTTTGACTCTTATGGAAGAGAGTGAACTTCTAAGAACATTATCGAGAACTGTAGCTTCAAAATCCCAGAAGGAAATTGAGGTTTGAGGACCTTGTAATTCACAAAATTGCTGTAACTTCACAGAGCCTGCAGTGAGTATGAGACCTCATGAAGATACAGGAACTCTGAAGAACTCAAGTGATGGACAGGGCATTGCCTGCAACACGGTCCACCTCTAAGCACTTTTTTTCTTACCAAGATAGTGTACAACACTGTAGATCAGATATTAGACTGTCAGTGTGTTACAGAGTCAAAATGAAACCTGAAGTATTTTTCAATTAAAATGTGTTAAAGCAAACATCTTCTCTCATGTTCTTTATCATGTCGATCTGAGGGTAAAAGGTGAGGTCAGCTCAGCTGTATGGATGAATTGCACCTCCGATTTTATGGTTTTCAAAGAAATAGTGATTAGATTGTCTTTTGTACCAATATGTTAGATATTAGATATAGATTCATTGGAAATTTCACAAGTAGGAAACAAATCATTTGGGCTTTTTCAGTCTCTTAAAGTGGAGTTATAAGAGCTACCAAGCTTTAGAAAGCCATAATGATAACTTCAATGCATAAATTATAGCTTAGCCTATTACTTAAACTTATTTATGGAAGGCCAAGTTTGAAATCACAATTCCACTCTTAGGACTCTGAGCTTGGAAAATATTTACCTTCAGCACACTTGAATTAAACAAAATTCACAAAAATTGAATTGATAGGTGAATTGTTATCCTTCGATATTATCTACATATTTTACAGGTTTCTACAAAACACACACACACATTAAATGTAATATGTTTTTCACAAATAGTGTGTATTTGGATACCCATGCTCTTTGTTATATTAGCTCAAGAAAATAAGCCCCCTTTCCAGCCATGCCATGCTGACAATGGTGTCTTTCTATCCCATATAACTCTAAGGTTTCATCCCAAGAGGGAAGAGATGGTCAGTCTATACAGAAATCCCATTTAAGAAAACTGCCTGGTCACGTACAGCCACAGTTATACCGAAATTCCACGGTCTTACCTAAAAGATTAAATTTTAATCATTGTATTAGGCCTATACAATAATGTGTGTTTGCTTTTTGAGCGTGGTCTTCACTCATCAAATTTCCCATCAATTCACACTAAATAAACATACAAGTATAATAAAGCATTTATTTTTGTTGTTACAAATTGAAAAAAGTAAGATTTTTTTCTCCTATTAAGGGTTTAGCTGATGGTAAGAGTAATTTGTCTTGATTTGATAGTCGAGATGATAAGAGACACATGAAACTTTGATGAAGATCAGGTTTCACATGAGGCTTTTGTGGAGACAGAAGGCAATTCCCTGTGCTCCTCCAAATGGACAGCAGAAGATGATGCCATAATGAGGTCATGAAGGCAATCTTTACATTTTGTCTTGTCTTATGAAGACTAGTTCTTAATATTTAAAGCTGCTGTCCGTAACTTTTTTAAGTTAAAAATAATCCAAATTAATTATAAAAAAAACCCATCTTCAGCCAGTGTTCAAAACTATCTGCTTGCCATAGCTAGATTCAAAACGGTTAGCTTGTAATAATGATTTTAATTCCAGTGGTACTGGTGGGTTTTCGCGGGAAATTCGAGCATGTCTTTGCGTCATTACGTCACACCCGTACACATAAAGAAGGAGTTTCGGCTAGCCGGCTATACTGCGCGTGAGGAGATGTAGAGATAGGCTTTTCTCGCAGCACTTTACATGATTAAACTTATGGCGGATCCAGAAAGATCCAGACAACAATCATCAGTGTCAAGTGTCAACTGGAGATTAACCAGTTATAAAACCCAAAAGACTTCGTACTTCGGATTTAAGGTGGAAAGAGAAAGAAACCGTCTCATGCGAACACAAGGATACACATCGGCGGGGCTTTTGAAAAGCGCGTGAACTCCGTGTTTTGAAGGGGTTCGAAACGGAAGAAGAGACAGCTTTTTCTGCTGAACAAGTAAGTTAAGACATTTCAATAGTTCAATCGTGTAACAGTACGTTTTCTTAATTCACACAGTCATGGAGTTTCCTTTGTTGTGCCTTTCTCGTTTAACGTTAGCTATTATGGAGAATATGAATTCTGAACTACACAGGTAATCATAAAACACATTAAATAACGTTAGTCACGCAATGCTGATGTTTTTAACATGAACAATTTGAGAACAAAGTAGGCTATGATTTGCACGGTTGCTGTAAATCGCGTTGATTAAATCTAACGAAGCTTATCATGTCGAATGCTTTTCCCCCCTTAGTTGATCAGAACAAAAATGGATTTTACTTACTTGTTCAGAAGACATTTTCCGGTGAAAATTCTTATGTTGGTCAAACTTTCAAAAAGTGAATCTGTGATTCTGTATGACAGTATCCACACAGCGCGGTGATTGACAGCACCACTCGCCTCAAAACACTGTGTTCATCCGCGCTGTTTCATGCCGATTTACAACCCACGTAAAGATGATAATTCCGCGAATCACTGCAGTTACAGATTTCGAACAGAGATGGCGACAAAAAGGGAAAAAGCTACGGACTGCAGCTTTAACTTTATCAGGTTAAGTTCAGATGTTATAGAGCAATAGTTGTTTTACTATCCCAGTATCCCGCAGTATTTAACAGAATGCATGATGTGGACGTGAGGAATATTGACTCGAAAATATACAATTTTTAATTTATAATTGTTTACATTCAAGTCAATTGAACACACCTTCGTAAAGATGGACATGTCAGCAAAAACTCCAGAAATCTCTCTCAATCTTCTGTCAGTAACTGTTTCAGCCGAGATGTCTCACATGATTACTGTAGAGGAATTTCCTCTTACAAAGATAGAAATTGTGACAAAAATAAGCAACTGTTGAGTCAGAAAAAAAAAATCTTGTTAAAAACTGCAACAGAGCATTTTAATGTTTCCACTTATTGCATTGCTATTCTGCATGTGTTGGAACTAAAACTGTTGACAGAAAAGTTGATTGTTCTGGTTATGATTCGAAGCAAAAAATAATTTGAATGTCAAATTCTGTCCAAATCAGAAGAAACTTATAAGTTTGTTTAAGAACATTTAAGATGTTGTGAATGTGTGTGTTTTAAATTGTGTGTGTTCCTTTTCTTTGCTGAATGTGCTGATGGTCTGTTTTCTCAACTGTGTTTTGGGTTTCTGTTGGCTTTTATTGTTTTGAAGTTTGACTTTATACAAATATAGGTTAGTATGTGCATATAAATCCATGAAGCTATTAGGAGGACCATCTTAGAATCAAATGTTGCTCTCCTGTCAATCAAATTCACACCTCATATGTGTAAATTGTGCAAGAGACTGAAGGTGCCTGAAAGAAAGATGTGAGATGTTAGTTAGAAATCTACGGAGGAGGGGAAAGCTGTTTACATTTCCCTCGAGAGGGGGATGGGGACTGAGACACATAATGGGTGTGTGTCTGTGTCGGGGGGCAAGGGTGGGTGGGTGGCTATCTCCAGGTTCCTTGAGGGAATAGCACAACAGAAAGAAGAAACCTTCAGTAAATGGCTGCAAATCAATGCCTGTGACCTCGCTCTCTCGGGAGAGAGAAGTACAGCATGAGACCCACAACCCCCTCTATGACCATCAGGCTAGTTCTACCACAAAACAAGTATCAAAAAGCATTAAGCATTTACATTCCCAATACAAGTAAAACAACAGCAGATTTCAAACCTCTTATTTGGCCTATACCTTATCCAGCCCTCTGGACTGGATTCTCCCATTGGATCTAAAGTCAGGTCACCCTCCTTTCCCAGCATGCTTGGCTGCACATGCAGACTTTGCTTGGGGCTGAAGTGAAACACTTGAGTTGTAAACTCTACTATGACTCCTCTCAATTAACTTATTCAGCAAGGATGCATTACATTGATCAAAAGTGAGAGTAAAGACATTATAATGATACAAAAGATTTATATTTCAAGTAAATGTTTTTCTTTTACATCAAAGAAACCTGAAAACAAATATTTTTTCCTACAAAAATATTAAGCATGCAGGACAATTGTTTTCAACAGTGATAATAAGAAATGTTTCTTAAACAGCAAATCAGCATACAGCAACAGAATGATTTATGAAGGATTGTGATGCTAAAGACTAATGAAGCTGAAAATTCAGTTTAGGATTAAATACAGGAACGAATTACATTTTAAAATATAGGCTATTCAAATTGAAAATATTAATTATGTTAAATTGTATATTTCCTTTTCTGATTTTACTGTATTTTTGATGATCTAATAAATGCAGCTTTGATGTGCATGAGACTTCTTTCAAAAACTATATATAATTGCTATTATGCTTACTGTAGGCTTCAGAGAAAGAGACCTCTGGAACACCCCACCTCTCCCCCAGCACAAAATACAGCATAATTAATCTATGAGAAACAAAGTGTGAAAACAATCTAAAACACATTGCACCAGCAGTCATGAGGAGACAAATTAATTAGGTCTTTAATCTAATGACAAAGGGTGCCTGTCAGACCCAGAATAAACAAACCGGCGTTCGACATCACCAGTCCACTGCACTCATGAGCAGAACTGAACTATTGAAGATACACACGGCCTTCAGGAAAATAGAGCAATGAAGAAAAGATCCATGATACATGACTTTATTGTTTATTCAGAAAGCTGGAAATGAAATATTAGCTTATACATCCTTCAGGCATAAAAGGCTTTTGAAAGGTTTCCCTCTCTTAAGCCTTGACTTTGTATCATCGTAACAGAAACCACAAATGGATGTTTGATAAGTGTGAAACAGCAGCTACACCCAACAGACTTTTTGTTCTGGGGAGAAATCTGGGTCACATCCCACACCCACCTCTTCTACTATTTTATGTTTTTAGGTCATTATACAATCATTGAATTGTTTGTGCTTAGTAGGATGTCTAAGCTATAACTTTGGGACATTAGAGAATCAGATAATTAAGCTGAGAGTATTATATTCATTTGATAGCATTGCTTATGAAACACTTGTGATAACAGCATTGGAAATTGTAAAAAGGAAAAATTCAGCTTCAAGCTAAATCGGCATTACTTTTGGCATTATGTTGATTACTGCAAAAATCATTTTTGACATGTC